CACACACACACACACAAGCAAAAAGCATATCCACAGGCTGAGAAGATTGGTACCAACATGAAGAGGTAAAGTAAGAATAAACACAGGAGAGCCTTGATTGACAGAAATATCCCTTTGTGGAGTAAAAAATGATGATGAAAAAGGGTCAGTGAGAAGAGAAGAGTAAGACATAGTGTTGATAGAGAAAGTGAGTGGGCAGCAGCCAAGACGGTGTTTGCCTTTCTCTCTGTGTTTCCTGGACTTAAGGGTTAATGTAAAGTACAGAAGCAAACAGAGAAATGGATTCGTGACAGCAGGCTGGCACAGCTAAACTCTCTGGGCAGCTCAACTGCTGCAGACACCGCTCTTACATACCAACACCCAACAACACACTGGAAATGTGACAAAATGGATTTTAGGTTTCCCCATAGGTGTGATGTTTACCAACTCTAACCGTTCGAAATGAACTCATTACAAGATTTCTCGTCACGGTGACAAAGCAGGTAAATAGCTGCTGTGTAATTGATTGCTTTGTCAACAGTTTATGTAAGGTGTGTTGGCGAACGCTGCTCTGCGGTGTGGTGCTGCAGAGCTGTGAATCCTCAGGCTGAAAAAAAAAAAAGGAACAGCTTTCTCACCCTCCCACTCCTCCTGCCGCACTCCTACCACCATTTGCTGCTGACCTCCCGGGTCAACTGAGCCCGAGCCTACATTCCTTTAGCTGCTATCTCCTGGGACGTCTCTTCCTCCAACTCATCTTACCTCATGTTTTCGCTTCCGTGCTATCTTACCAAAAAAGCCACATATTGTTAGTTTTTTACATATAACTCTGCATCATAAGATGTTTTTTGGTGGCCATGTGGGTGGCTAACTACTATTGTCTGTTTTTCAGCTTTTGTTTTTCAGCTTTGCCTTTCAACCTGGTCTAAAAGAAACCTCCATCCTCCTCTGTCCCTGAGAGGCCATGTTCAGACGGACAGCTGAAATAGATTTTTCCCATTTTTAATACCAACCAGACTCTCAACAGGAAAAAAAACAGGCATGATCCAATCCTATCCTTTTCGGACCAGATTTAAAACATATTTGCAGGTGGTTTGAAATGGACTTTAAATCCAATATGTGCAAGTGCAACTCAGCCCAACCACTCAGATCAGATTTCAAGTGTTTGCTTATTTTGGTCCATCACTCCCCACAGGACTCATATGGGAGAGTGAAGAAAAAGATATGGAGGGGCAAAATATCCAAGACTGGCTAACATGGTATATCAACTTAAGATATAAATATATTTTGTATCTAACTTTAAAATGCCTACATACAATGGAATGAGTTACTGGGTGGCAGTGGGTGAACTAACTAATTACATTTACTCTGTGACAAAGCCATATTTTTGTACTTTAGTATATTTTATCCCACATATTGCACTTACTTACTACATTTAAAATTACATCCTTTAGAGTAAGAACAAAAGTCCCCCACGATGTTGCATGACCAACAGGTGCATGCTGAATGCTAAAATGCTCACAATGCATTCAGTGACATATGTGAGGCCTTTCTACTGTTATGACTAATAATAATAATATTACTAATAATCTTGGTCATACAGTCTGCAGAGTGCCTTTTCAGCGCAGAAACGTTTGAATTTGAGGAGTGCAGTGGGCTGAGTGGACTGGTTATATAATACATTGAGAATGAACAAGCAGAGAAGTTGAACCGATGCTGAGAAGGATTCTGTGGAGAACAAGACTCACAGTTGTAACTCTCCAAATGAAAACGTCAACAACCGCTGTGTTGCCTAGAAATGTATCTGTGCAGCTCTCTGTTTTTGTTTTCATGTGTGTTCGCGGCCTGTAGCTGCTGTCGAGTTCATATTGTCTATGCATCTCTGTGCTGTCTGCCTTATATATTGTTAAAATCCTTTATTCGGTTGTCTCGCTTCATCAGGGTCCTGTCTTAACGCAGTGTTTCAAGGAGTGTTTTCTTAGGAGGGAGGGGGGCTGCCCTTGCCATCTGCTCCAGCACAGAGGCTCCAACAATGGGAGGCCGAAGGACTGCTCGAGGAGGACAACAGACCGAGAAGCCTCTGGAAAATACTGAGCTGTCTTACAGCTAGAAGCGGAAGATAACTGCTGCTGCTGGCAATGATATGAATGTGCACACACACACATACACACAAACAGCTGAATTTAAAAGACCACATGATGCATCCGTTTAAAAAAAATATGAATCACTGTCAAGAGCATGTGGGTGTTTTGTTGGCACAGTGCACACAGGAACTGTATTAGAGCTGACACAATGAAGTATCTAAAATTAACCCTATCACTCTCTTACACATTCAAATGAAACACAGAAAATGTAAACACAGTCAGTTACCACGTCTGGTAACCAAGTCTGTGATTTTTGTCCAAAATTGTCGCACATTTAAAAATAAATACAACCTCACGTTGTGTCAATTATGTTTACACACCGACTCTGAAACTTTTTTTTGGAACAGGTTTGATTTTCTGCATTTTTTTGCACCAGTCAAAAAGAACAGAGAATGAGGACGGCAACCAGACAGGAGAGAGAGCATTAGTGTGGAGACAGAGAGGGAGGAAAGCTAAGCCTCTTGTAGCTGCGGTGCCAAATGCAAGCCGCAGGTAGAGAGTGGCGACAGCCTGCAGAGGAACCTCCAGTGGAGAGAACCAAGGAAGGAAATGAAAAAGAATGAGTGACAGCAGGAGCAGACAGCTCCTTTATCAGCAGGTGAAACTCTACTTGTTTTTTTACAACTTGGACCTAATACTTCCATTTTCTTTTTCCACTTACAAGTGAGAAGACCACAAAATCAACCTCATTGCATGATAACTCCGTCTCGTACTGGGAATTTCGCAATAAATAGAGTAATAAAACGCATCAGACTCAGTGTGCAAGGTTTCTATGTGTAATGATTTTAATCGGATGGCGGATAAAAAAAAAACGCATACAAAAACTACACAAAGGCCTCCACTGTCTTTTTATGCTCACATGAATTCACACATTGAACAAACTAATAGTGCTAAAAGTTCTCACAGCTTTACGTAGGTTTCATCTGCACAAGAATTGTGTTTTCTTGAACATGTCAGAGAGTAGCAACTAATGTCCTTACAGTGACACCCAAAAAGAGGGAATAGAATCAAAAGATGATAATGTGTTAAAAGTAACTTTCTGATATGGTACTGGGAGGGGTGACCAATATCAGTTAGGTTAACAGAATTGGCCAAAACTGAAGGACAGTCTGGATGGTCTGCCAAAATCCATAAAACAACTTATAAAAAAGATCTTTGAAAAATCACGAGTATGACTTAATGTATGCCAAAATCAATCAGTAATAATATAATATGACCAAGGTTAAGTCTCTGAGTGCCTACGATTAATTTTATTTCATTTCTAAGTGTTTTATTGGTTTCATTCATTGGTGTGAATTTATGTAAGTGGTCACTGTATCATAAGAACATGCAACAAAAACGAGGGAGGTTGGCTCATGTGAGCCTACTCACCCTGGGTTGCCAGTTTTCATATTGCTTCTGCAGGTTGGCCCCGATGGTCTCCAGGGCTTTCTGTGGACTCATCGACAGAGGATCTAGCAAGACAACACAGAGCGTAAACACATTGTGATCACACACACGTAGAACACAACAGTCATAGCACAGCAACACTGCACACACTCAATCTGGAGCTGACCTTAATTATATTATTCACTGCATACATTTACATTGCAGTAAAATAATGTAATCCAAACAAGAAGGCGAACATTGCTTAACATTCGGGCAGAAGAAACTTTAATGCCGTGATTAGAAAGGTAGCTTATAGTTTATGATTTAGGCATCAAAGAAAAAGCAGGGTTTGGAAAAATAGCAGCAGCCCCTTGGGTTGAAATATTGATGAGAGTAAATCAATATGGCATGAAGAATAGCAGAATATAGATTAAGGAGAGATCAAATTGTGCTCAGCAGACAGAGAAGAATGTATTGGCAAGTTTGTGGGAGATACTGATATGCTTTATGCTGAAAATTAAACCACCGCCTTTATGATGAATGAGGCCTACTTCAAAGGAAAGACGCATTTGATGAGTCAAATTATAACTTCTGGTTTACTTTATTTCATTTCAACTTACTAGGTATTTTAAGCCAGTGGTTCCCAACCTTTTTCCTTAAGGGACCCGTTTTCTATAACTGAGTAAACTGAAAACAGGCTTCTTTTGTGACAAATTCAATGTTTTCTTGTCCCTGACAGTTGGCCATTGTTCTAGTAGACAATTTACATTTACCTTTCCTCACAAAAGTGAGCCTACTGTGTATACTTTTAAGTTTTCTTACACCCCTAAAATCAAGAAGGCCCCGCAAACTGCAAGTCCTGCGCCCACATATTGTGTGATCACCTTACAACCACTCTACAATTAACTGTTATGATGAACATTTAAAAAGGTGCCAGAATATAAAAGTATATAAAAGTTTCACACACACCACAGCCAATGAGAAGCAGATGTATGCATTTTTATTAGCATATAGTTGTAGCATGTGTCATAAATCAAACACCATGGTGCATTTCAGGACATCTGCCTTTACTCCTCAATATTCCCAAACACTGTCTCAAAAATGAATTGGCAGGTCTGCACAATGTCAGTGTCCTCAGAAACCACTGAGAAAGTTACAAACACTTTAAGAACTGTGTTCCCTCTTTAATGTGCTTTCCTCTTTCCTAAGAGTCAAGCAGTCTCAGGGGAGTTAAACAATGGTTTTGAGGTTCCTGTTCAATAGGGATGGTTCTTTTGTTTTCTGTGTCATCTTGTGTGGTTCTGATGGGGGCAGACTACTTCATCTTTAGCTGACAGAGGCCTTATGATTTGAGCTCCCATGGGAATGACAGAGAGGGGTTCCTAAGTGCTCCAAAGTAAAAACTTAACTTTTACTGTCAAGTTCAAGTTGGCAGTAGTCTTGAATCCTTTGAACCGTATGCTTTTTGGCTAATTTTTTACACTTGTCATTTACAGGCTATTGGCATAATCATGTCCTGACTAGACATGCCTTATATAATAGTTATTTTCAGGACCACTCAGAAATGTCACCAATGTTAATGGAGAGGTACTATAATTGTGAGGGTTTTTTTGCCTGGTTTTAAGTACACCACAAATGGTGTCATATAAAAGGATAGAGGAGTGTGTCCATGTTCCATGGTGATAAAACCTTTGTGATGTCAATACGAGACTATGAGGATACAGCCACGCTAGCAGCTCTATGAGGCTAGCAGTGCTTTAAGCTGGACACTTACACTTTTTAAAATTTATCCTAATAAATCATCATGGAAAGAAATGTTGCTGTTTCACTTTTGGTACTGAAGAAACGTGATGATTATGGAGTGCTGATAAGTCCTAAAACCTGGAAATTAGTTAGCATTTTAGCACTTCCAGTTACCTCGCCTCGAAGTTAACAGGTTTTTTGAATGGGTTTTTGGTTAAATGCTTGAAATAAGGTCTTTGGTTAACACAAACTTAAGAGATATTCACATTTGTTCTATAGCATAAAAAACATCAGTAAATACTGTAAGTTTTTAAATCTTTAATGTGTCTTGAAAAAGACGATTGTTAACAAGTGGCTAAATTAGACTACAGAGGTTGTGGGGGGCATTACGTCAGCACGCCGCACACAGAGACTTATCAACCCACTAATCCACCTTTACAGCCTCTTGCAAACTATTCTAACTCAAACTTTACAACTTGAATTTTAATTGGACAATTTAATTACAAAATGGAAATTTAGTGGTGGGGACATTACTCTCTGCAATAACCAAAAATCCCATTGGCTTTTTGTTTACAGTGCTAGCTTCTAGGTAATGTTACAAAAATACATAATTCCTGCAGCACTCTATTAGACAAGAAGTAAGAATGAGTCTGATAAGGAGTGGTCTTTTTGACCCCAATTGTGTACAGTGGGTATGTGTCCATCACAATTTTCCAACACAGTTGAGTACACATCATATGTAAGGTGAACCCACTTTATCATATCTAACACTTTGTTTTGCATTTGTGTGCTTGTCCTGTTCAGCACTTATATTGGTGTGCGTGTCTGTGTGAACTCACTCACCTATCCAGCACTCCAATCTGGCGCAGGGCGAGGTCTTGACCACATCAGGAGGGTCCACTCCCACGTTCAGACACAACACCAGTGCCACGCTCACGGTCTTCATCTGGGGGAGAAGTCACAGAACGCATCATTACCCTCACATCAATGCTCAAATTAGGGCTGGGCGATTAATTCGAATTTATCGATTAATTCGAATTTGTAATTAAACACGATTTATTTTTGCAACCGACTGCATCAGTAATTAGCTTTCCTCCGGCGTCCCTTTTTTTTCATACGGGACACAATGTGACAAATGAATCCCACCTAATGTAACGACTGTTTTTTAGGCGGGCAGTTTGTGGCTGCGGTCCTTGTATTATCTGCGCAGAGAGCAACATTTCTCTCCACTTGCGCATGCCTCTGCTTGAGTGCTTGAATAAAGTTTTGGTCAACTGCTACAGCTTCAAATAAACTTTGCAGTGTGGTCGGAGTTGTCGCTGTTGACCCACAAAACCAAACCGAAGTCCAAACAACCCGACGACACTGTGCCTTTTTGGACGAGCTCATCCTTGCGTCTCCGCCATGTTTGTTTATCTTGTTGAGAGGCGGAAACGGGGTTTGACGGGGGCAGCGCACTCTGACCTAAACGGGAGCCCAAAGGCGAGCGCCGGTTGGGAAGTCATGAGAAAACCGATTTTAAA